GGTGAACTGGTCACTCCTAAAACAACAAAAGTGCTTGTATAAGCAAAGAGTAAGATAAAAACATTATCATCATTATCATCATCCAGAGCTCTTTAATAGACAACAGATTTGCTAAGTATTAGGTAGTATTAAAGGTTCCCCAAAGAACCATTGTCATGATTCTGACAACAATGATTAGGAGTTTAAGAAAACGGTTCAAAAGTTCCATGGGAATCTGGGTAATGAAGTAGCAAGCATGGAGTTTGTGCTGAACCAAGATTTCAGAGTACAAAATGAACAGCCTTATTGGTCCTCAGGCCTCATGTAAGGCAGTTCACAAAACTTCTGATGGAAGTTAGCAAGGAATTCTCTTGCAGGAATGGGATCTAGGGTTATCGTCAGTTTGCAAGAACTGAAGGGGCAGAGGCATGTCTTCACAGGAAATGCCATGTATGATTGGGTTTCTGTGAAACTCCACAAGTTTGTTTCATATATGGAAGAAGAATGTTTTACTGATAGGGAAATTCTAAGAAAGCATTACATATTTTTTTCAACTATAAAGATAACTTCGGAAAAACCACCCTGTTAGTAAAATGGCACTTTAATGTGATCTATTAGCAGCTTTGGCCCACATACTGAAACACAAAACCAAGTTGCAGAGATGTTATTATTAATCTAACTTTCCTCCAAAGGTTACCTTCTCATTTAGGATTCATGTATCCCAGGGGTCTTCAAACTTGACAGCTTTAAGATTTGTGGACTTCAACTCCCAGAATTCTTCCTCCAGTTATGTTAGCTCAGGAATTCTGGGAGTTGAAGTCCACAAGTCTTATTGTATCCGTTCTCATTTTAATCTTACAACAACCCATGAGGTAGGTTCCACTGAGCTATTGTGTCTCCCAGGCAGAGTTTTTAGTGAGAAGGCAATCTTTTCTAAGCAGCTACCCCACATACAATGGGAGCTTCTTTTTATGTGTTTGAATCTCATGGGGAAAAAAAGGATAATGTAGTGATTTGGACCTCATAAGAATGTATGAGATTGATCCAAAGCATCCTGTATTTCCAAAGTTAATAAGTTAACAAAAATGTCTGTTTTCATAGCAGGGAAAATTGAGGAGTGGGGCAATAGACAATCAATCAATCATCAATCATAATAGAGCTGGAAGGGAAAATAGCTCCAAATATCCAAATGCATTCTGAACCTGGGAATTTTTGAAAACATGCTCTTCACGATGAGATTTCATACAATCTTATCTCCCATTTGAGTAAGAAGCACTCAAGCCAGTAGAGTTTACTTCCAAACAAACATGGATGAGTTTGCACATGGATAAATAGAGGACAACAAATATGAAATTCCATTAGTTTCAGCAAAATTTAGAAGAACTTAACTTTCACTGGATTCTTCCTGAAACTATTCTCTCCTTTCTCCAATTCTTTGGGATTTATGAGTGTTTTTTTTGAAAATTTGAGAAATCGCCTCTGTGGGTGTTCTCACAACATGGCCATTTGGAAAATAGTCAGTCATTAAACATCCCCTTATAAAAGCAAATTGTCTGGATGCTTTCTGCCATTCTTTTTCATAGGATGTCCCCCAACTTTTGTCTACTTTTTCTAGAGCTGGGCACATGTCCACACAGAGTGTTGAAAATTTTAACAATCCGAGACTATGTACAAAAATCTTAGGGAATTCAAAGGCTTTCTTGGAACTAAATATAATTCTGGAACTAGTGCTTCCTTTTGCTTGATGAGAGTGTTTATACTTTTAGGAAACTTGAAAGTATATCTTCTTTTTCAAGTTAGATGGAAGAGATGTCCATGGAGAAGCTTGCTCAAGGTCTAATGGAAAATCTCAGTTTCAAAATTAAGCACTTGTTATCATCACAAAGCCTTTTTTAAAATTCCTATCTTGTTGAATTTGTATTTTCTACTATCTCTAGTATAGGGTTTTTATAGGGTTTTTTTTGGTAGTTAACATGGAATGTATTATTTGTTCAAGACATTTCTGCAAGGGGAGTGTTCCTTTTGTAAATCTAATTAAAATTTCTAGTTGATCACAATAATTGTATTTGTACAGACACTATAGCTACATCTTGTAATTTATCACCTTAAAAAAATCATTAAAATACAGCAGCTAGTCCTATCCTGTGACATTAATAAACAAATGTATTTACTCAGTATGGCTCTCAAGATCTTATATACAGAGCATCTAACTTTATCTGCAAAAAACGGGTAGCATCAAGGGAGTTCTAGGGGAGACCTCTCATGCAACAAGTGCGAGAATGAACTCTGCTCTTGTGCATGAGACATAAATCGTTTGGATAGCTCTAAGATACACCAAGACAGATCAGGAACAGCACGTTCATATATACACAATTCATGAAAACTAAAAGTTAGAAACAATAACGCTACACCCGCACATCCTGTCATGTGGAACAACAACAACAAAAAAAAAGAACTACCATTTGGGTAGAGACTAATTCTGGAGGTTCTTAGATTTTCTATAACTTCTCAGGCATCCTAAATACCATCACATCTACATCAGGTGAATATCATACCAATCATTTAAGATATCACCAGTCCAACCTGGTGATGCTGGACTACACAGTGTTAAATGAAGTTGATGTTTGAACTTTCGAAGAACATCCAATTGGAAAGGTGAATTAGGTTTTTTTTTTTCCATTTTGCAACAATGCTCTAAACATGTAATTTGATCGAGGGCAGCAATATTTAAAAATAATGCCAGGATTCGGACCTCAATCACTCAAGGAGAAAGTTGGATGGTGACAGTAATGTTAGGTCTTTAGTTGGCACAACTGTGCTAACTAGGAAACTGAGAAAGCCTTGTTCATAATATATTGTGCTGGTTGAGGCTGCCTTCAGGTCTACTAGATATTAGAAAACTGGTCATAGCTATGAAATAGAGTGATCTTATCAAGGTTAGGAATTGTGCTTCTAAAGAATCTGTAATGTCTAGATGGGCCTCAAATTATCCTTCATGTAGAAACTAGGCCAACAGATTTGTGGACAAACATGAAAGAGAAGGCTCACCCTGCCTCTTTGGTCCACATAAATTAGAAAACTTTCATACCATGCTTGATAGGCAAAAGAATATGAGCAAACCATGTAAGAGTAGAATTAGCACCCTATTTGGAGCGCATCTAATATCAATATATGCCAATTCCTCCCTCTGTATCTTCCAATTCACACTATGTTGATATTAGAATATTTTAAACATACAACTGAATTGCTTTCCATTGGCATTTGTGCAATACCGATGTTCTTCTCCAATTTCTGCAATTTCAGATTTTTGAGCTGGCTGGCCCTAGACCAGATTGTAGTAAGGATTTCAGAAGATTCAAATGCCAAGGATTGTGCAAAGACAAAAGGGGTGTTGTTGCTTACAGCTATACTGAACTTCAGCGCCCTAATTAATATCTTTTTTTTTATTCTGCTTATGAGTAGCAAGCAAATAAATGAAATGTAATGCAGCTTGACTTTAATATGGTATGTGCATCTGGGAGGTCTCCTGTAATGTGCTTTCAACCAATCTAAAGTGTGAAGTCATGTAATGCAACAACGTGGCCCATCTGTGTCTCTTTTAACTAGAGTGCAAAAAAAAAAAAAAAAAAGTGGTTTCTGAGAAGCATGCAACCCGAGGCCATCTGGTGCAGGATGTGATGCCTTGTCCAGAATTGCACCCCTACCAAACTCCTTGTGGTCTTCTCATTTCTCCCAGCCCTCCATAATCCTGCTCTGTCTTTTACTAATCCTTTCCCACTCAAACTGACTTCCCCAGTTCCTCTCAACCTGAGTTTTCAGATCATTGCCTGTCCTCTGTTTCATGCCATATTCTAGCCAGAGCCACCCATCTTTGCTTCTCAACTCTTTTGCAATTTCTTCTTGTTGTTTTGTCTCCTACAATGTTTTCAATTTATAATGGGGGTCTCTAAGTTTGGCAACTTTTAAGACTTGTGGACTTCAACTCTCAGAATTCCCCAGTCAGCATAAGTCTTAATTCCCTCCACAAGTCTTAAAGTTGCCAAGTTTGGAGATCTCTGATTTATAGAAACTAACACTATCTTCATTCTTCTCAGAACTACAGTTGCCTCCCATGAGTTGGAACCCAGAGGAGGATGGAGCCATTTGACAGTGGCAGGCAGGATGCTCTGTAGCCTAACCAGAGACCTTCAAAATGGCAGCTGATAGTTATCACGTGCTGTATATTTGTGCAACCAGCTGCATGATAGAGCCTTTGTGTGTCAAGAACAAGATAGCCATGATCTGGTGTCAATCAGTCTTAGAACCATTTATTTCCTAAATGCAAGGTAAAGACATACAAGCTTTTCCTTGCTTCTTTCTGAAATATTATGCTCCCTGCAGTGAATACACAGAAACTTTTAATCTAAACTTTGGGGCGATATCTTGCTTTTCTATTCCCTTGGTTTTGATGTATTGAGCAGATTTTCTAAAGCTCTGGGGGTGCCACTGTATAGGATTGCAGTCTGAAATCCCACCTCTTTCCTCTCTCTCACACCCACACAGAGAGACACAGGGACATAACTTTCCGTGTTTCAATGTATGCTAATTCTTGCATGTGTTTGTAACCTAGAAAAATCTTCTCATTCTCCTACGATAATTATTGCACTAATGGTGAAGAGGAACACCAGAGGGCTGATGGTTTTGTTTGTTTTTCAGCCAGACGCAACTTGCAACCTGCTGTTGCCTGAAATACAGGTGCTGCTTAGATAATTACAGCAATGTGCTACAAACAAGGAACAAATAGTGAAGGTCATTTTTGTAACCTGGGCTTGTATATCCTTGAGAAGGGATGGGTATGTAAAAGCAGTTTCCTAAAGGTTCAGTGCATTAACCAGAATGTATCTCATATCTAACACATTTAGATACAAGGTTCTGACTTGGGTTGAACGGAGTCTCACATGACGGTCTCTCCGGCTCCCGTAGAGTATTTCTCTTCCCTCCAGTCCTTTTAATATGGTCATGTTACCAAGATGCCAAATGATTCACACCACGAGTAGAAATTGATCTTGCTCTGGGGGTTTTTTCACCCAAGTGCCCAGGCCTGCCTTCTGAAATGCTCTGAACAGCTGCTGTTTGGCAGACTGATAGACATGTGCCACCAGTTTGGCCTCACTGTACACTGATGGCACTTCTCCATGGCTTGATATCGGTGTGCTCAGCTGCAGGGGGAAGAGAAGGGAGGGGGAAATTCAGATGCCAACGAACAAAGAGCTGAAGCCTTGGCCTCTTCTGTAGCTTTGTATCACCATTCTGTCTCCCTCTCTTAAGCTACAAAGAAATTGTGAGCTTTACATGTAACAGTATTCAGGGAAAAAAATATTTGAGAAGATCCGAGTCTCACTGCACAGACAATGCCAGACTACCATCTTCACACAAAAGGGAATTTTGGAGAGCTCAACCAACCAATATTGTACATCATTTGGAAGACTGCCCAGAGTTCTGTGTGCATAAATTCTACCAGTTAATTCACATTCCTCTTTTGGACAGATTTTTTTTTTTGGAAGCATTGTAAAGCCCATGAGAAAGAATGGCCATTGGAATGGGTTAGTTCTTTCCAAATGGACTCTCCATTCTTCTAAATGACTCCATTTTGCTCATTTGGAAGGAACCAGAGTATTTTGAAGGCCACATTCATTTGTCATTTGGGAAAGAGAAACAAAATTGGAAAGGCTGCCATGTTAAGTGGTATGAATAGTCCAATATGTTTCTAATAACAACCAACAAAGGTATTGCTCATTTAAAAAAAAAAATCATAGCATTTTCAAATTTATATTCAAAGAAATGAAACTTCACTTCATATGAAATTGATCGATGCTTTATTTAAAAGCCAATAATCTCTCTAAATTTCTAGGTGAGAAGGGGAGGAATAGAATTCCCCTCCCCTTTCTCCTTTTTTTGTTATTTTGCTAAACATGAATTTGAACTATTTTGTGGACTAGTAGGCAGAAATAAAATTTCAAAGAAGTACAGAAGTAAAAACCACTCTCAGAAAGTCTTACTTCTAATGGGTGGGACGCATGTAAAAAAGGGGTAACAGAATAGAATAACAGACCTTGTAAGGGACTTTGGAGGTCTTCTAGTCCAACCCCCTGCTCAGGCAGCGCTATACCATTTCAGAAAAATGGTTGTAAATCTCTTTTTAAAAACTTCCACCCACAACTTCTAGAGGCAGGTTGTTCCACTGATTAATTGTTCTAACTGTCAGGAAATTTCTCCTTAGCTCTAGACTATTTCTATCCATGATGAGTTTCCACCCATTGCTTCTTGTCCTGCCCTCAGGGGCTTTGGAGAATAGCTTGACTCGGTCTTCTTTTGGCAATCCCATAGATATTGGAATGCTGCTATCATGTTACCCCCAGTCCTTCTTTTCATTAAACTAGACATACCCAATTCCAGCAACCGTTCTTTATATGTTTAAGCCTTCAGTCCCCTAATCATCTTTGTCCTTCTTTGGACTCTTTGTAGAATGTCAATATCTTTTTTTGGGTAAAACTTTGATTATGTAATTTTGGAAACCATCTTGATGTTTTCATCTCCCTTACCTGGCTCTACATCCACTTAACTGTGTCCACCTACACAGGGGTGTCAAACTTACACCATCATGGCAGCGTCAGGTGATGTATCACAACTTTTCCTCCCTTCGCTAAACAGGGTGTGGGTGTGGCCAGTGCGTGACATATCCGGCCTGGCGGGCCGCCAGTTTGACAGCCCTGACCTACAGAGGAAGTTGCTTTATATGTGGATATTCTCTACTGAAATATTCTTCCAACTTCTTCCCACCATCAGTGCCATGTACATATCCCTGTCAGTTTCTCCTTCTTCTCCTACAAAGACAATTCTTTTTGGCTATCCTACTCTTGCTACAGGATGAGCCTGTTTTTATTTATGAGAACCATGTATATGGCATATACTGAAAAATAAGCATAGGCATCATGGTTTCCTTACCCATCTACTAATATGCAATGATTGACATCTCTCCTAGCAGTCACACCCTTGCTTTCCATAGCTTGGGATAAGATTATTTTCATACTGAATTTCAAAAGCTGCAATCTAATTATTCAAATTGAACTCATGTAGGAAGCCAGTCTATGGTGGCAACAAGGATCCTGGTCAACTTGGTAAAGAATTTCTGATGTTCTGATTTGATTCTGGTTTGCACAGCCAGGATATCTGAGGAGGTCAAAAAAGTCAAGATGGCACAATGCAATTGTTGCCTTTCTCCCCTCACCTTTTAATAAAAGGGAGGGACTTTGATTGAGCAAAGAGCATGTTGACTTTTTTGAATGGAAAAAACCCTGATACTTTTATTTTTGCTGTGATTTTTATACGTATTTATTACTTCTGTTGTGTTTTCCTAGGGCATTAAATTAAAAACCAGCTTTGCAAATCAAGACTCCATGTCAGTGCTGAAAAAGAAAAATTCATACTGACATTTGGAGAAAGGATTTAAATAAACAAATGTTTGTGACAGAGAAAAGGTGAATTGTCAAGTGAAAGCACATTTTTTTAAAAAAACAAACCCTTCTTTTCCTATGTTATACTGATAACAAATGCTATAAGAGAGAGCAGTAATCAAGCGTCAAGGATGTACTAAACATACAGAGTGGAGAGGCGGCATTGCTGAGGAGAAGTACTTTGTGGAATAACCTGCAACTGAGGTGCTTCCCAAAAGCAGCCTTAAATGTTTGAAACACACACCTTTGTAATACAATGATCACTTCCAGCCCCTATGCCTGTGGAGATTCTCAATCATCCAGGTCATGGGTGTCCCAAAGGTACTTTTCTAAAAGGCAACCAAACTTGTTTTTTTCCTCCTTGGAATCATTTGGCTTCTCATCTTTAGAAGCTCTTCAGTTCTTGAATGAAAAGCAAAATATTTTTGATGAGAAAAACCAATTGCCTTTTGGAAAAAGGCACCTTTTGGACTTCCACCTCCTGTTCATTAGCGGTTGCAAAAAAAAATATGTTCATTTTTGTTTTATTAACTTCTTGTTTTGCACAATTAAATTCATGACCTTATTTCTGGACACAATATGACCAAATGAAGAGTGAGAATTTAAAATCTGGGGGAAATTATGGAGTCTGGAGAATCCAGTAGGAGAGCATATATTCAGTCACGTGAGTGACCTGGTACAGTCCTAAGGATGTTCTTTTCATGACTTCTTCACACTTCCTGAAACACAGGGAGGTGTAAAAGAGGGCATGGGGCATCTTGTCAAAGGTAGAGACTTAAGCAAGAGTTTCCTTTTTTATTCATTTCTTTATTTCTGCTCTGTTTTCTTCTGATGGGAAGCTGGATTTGTTAAGCTTCTCTCCTATAGGAAAAAGAGGATTTCCTTTCTTACAGCCTAAAAAAAAATAATATACCAAAAAGTTGTTTTTTTATTTCATGCATTTAATACTTAAATAAATAAATTAATAGCAGTGCCTGTTAGAGGGATCTCGGAGCTAGTGGAGTTTCTGGTGAGTTATGTGATTCTTATCATTTGGGAATTAGCCCGTGACAAGCGCTTTATCTAGCTTGACACTTTTACGAGGTGTGAAATACTCTTGGCTGAAGCCCAGAAAGGAAAAAAGCCAAAAAGATGTCCATTTGTTATTCTAGTCTGCGTGCCTTTTTGAGGTTATTGGGGGCTCTCTGTGTCCCACAGAGCCTTAGCTAGGGGCTCCCCCAAGCCCCTGCAAGCCCCCAGCAGCCCACCCCTGAATTCCTTTTCCCAAATCTTCAGAGATACAGGTGTTCTGTGGCACTATGTAAGCTTTTTAATAAACTTTACCTATTTATTCAAGAATCTGTTTTTACATCCTCATAATGGTCTTGGTTCTATCCACATGCACATTCCCCACCATCCAGTCAGAGCTGAAGAGGCTTCTTGGATGAGAAACAAAACGTCTTCAAAGAAAAACCAGAAAGTCCAGTTGCCTCTTGATAAAAAAGCACCTTTGGAACAACCATGGCTTGGATGACTGAGAATCTCCATACACTCTCACGCTTGTGGTCCATGATATTTGGATAAAAAATGTCAATACTAAAATACTGAATCTCCAGGGACAAAGATTTGCAGTTGATAGATATCCTCTACCACTCAAACAATCCAGTTTTTTCACCAGTTTTTCACACTTACCTTTCCATAAAGCTTTGCCCACTGAGTGTAAAACATGTGCTTGCAGAGTCGTGAACAACTCCCACAGTTTTTTTTCCCTGTTGTGGCATTAATAAGCTCTAAGTCTGCTGTGCCTGCTATCCAATTCACACTGAAACCAGGTGATTTCCCAGCCCGCCTCCTTTCAGCGTTACTCACTCCTGTCAAAGGGGAAACAGAAAACATCAAGCATTAAAAGCAATAGGTTTGAAAAATAAAAAATGGAGCTTCTATTTTATTGGGAAATAAGCTATATTCCCATACCTATATACACATCAATATGTTCTTATCCCTTGGCTGGAATCTGCTTGGATCAATATATGCTTTTAAGAAGTGTTCAGTTAATGTTGCCAAAATATAATTAAGATTCTGTTTGCATGCATACATTTTGACAGCCTTTGTTGATATAAAATCACTGTCTGGTTGACAATGGCTGCTTTCTACAAGTGTTTAATATGGAAAAAAAATCTAAATTAGGGCACATTAGAAATAAAGACAGCAGGTATCTGTCCATGGGATGGGCAGATTCCAAATTTTGTAACAGAATAATATATGTAATGGGATCAACCAACATGGGCAACCAGATTTTTTTTTACTATGAAAAGTAATAGACAAAGCTATTTTGGCTGCCAAAGATTTTATGAAATTTATTACATTTTTACTTTTTATTATTTTACTCTCATAGCCCAAATAAAGGTGTTAAACATTTTATTCTTAAAAATGATTTTAAAATAGGACAAATACTCCATTTTTAAACCTTGTTTTTTAATTTTTACACAAAAGCATTTGAATCAGTCTCAGAGGCATCACTGCATTACAGATTCTTAATAATTTTAACCTTGGTTTAATAAAATTAACAAAGAAAAAAAATAGCAAAAACAAAAAATCAGAAGAAAATATATAATTCCTCATTATTATGCAATATGGCGGATACTACACAGGTCCGTATGCATGATGCAGAGGCAATTCAAATAGTTTGATCTGGAAAATTAATCCAATTGTCAATGCACATCAATCTGGAAATTCAGTTAAATTCAATTTCTTTAAACTGAATCAATGAAACGGGTAGATTAGGCTTGAATTTTAGAATCAATTTGGCACAAATTGTTTCTGTGCATGGATGAAACACCCAAAATCATCCATATCAATTCAAAACATCCAATTCGTTGATACAAATTAAGTATCTAAGTCAATTCAGAAAGCTAATTTGATTTGGAGATTGAACTGACATGCCTTTAAATCAAGCCTCCAAATTAAATATCTGCATAGCTTGAATAGATAAAGCAGTTTGATATATATGCGGATTAAATAAATTACAGGTACTGAAACATTCTATGCATTTGCACCAGTTAGAAGCAACTGGAAAATACACTTGAAATGGTCACTTATTAAAAGATTTATTAAAAATCCTCTGTATTTCTGAGCTTCTATACCAGAAGGAACCCATTTCCTTAGCTAAGTGGCTATATCCTAAGTGACTGTGTACAGATGAATCAAAATGAAAATATAATTGAGTTATTATTTCATGCTGAACTTGTAATCACATTTATGTCATATTAATAGCAATCTCCATTTCTTCACTATGATAACTGATCTGTTTGTATCTTAGGGGGAATATGTTGTAAAGTAAATGCAGTTCTTACACCATGGTGCTATTTAAATACATCCATCTGACAATTGTTGCACATAGATCTCACTCTATGACTTGACATGAATGTGTCAGCCTCTGTCAGAATTATTATGTTACTTACTGGATAGTGTGCCAACCTATGACAATATGTGCCAGATAAGGACTGCCTAGGATAAAGCCATAGGTAACAGAACAAACATAGATGCAGCAATCTAATAATCAGAAGAAAATAAAGCATTTGGTCAAATTAATAGCTTTTGTATTCAGGCACTACCAAGGATTTCAGAAGATAAAAGCCAAGCACAAATGGTCTCCAGATACTTCCTATCAAGAGATCAACATTTCTGTTAGAAAATAAAAGGAAATGAAAGCCGAGAGAAGTTAAAGTCTGGCTGTTAATAAATATATTTGGTGAGCAGACATTGCAGCATTTTTATCCCTTGTCTTCTAAAAGAATTTTTTTTGTGTGTGGAAGAAGATTTAGGGAACTTGGAGAAATTAAATAGGAAAGCACTGTAGCAAAGTACTAACTCTAAACTTTGGTAACAACCTCTAATCCTCTTTCTGAGGAGAAAATAATTGGTTTTAAATCTGGAAGACCTTTGCATCACATCCATTTCTAACTCCATTGTATGTCCTTGGTTGGCAGGTCCGCATCTCTAGCTTTGGTCTTACATTTCTTAAGTGTGAGCAATTTAAAAAACAAAATCCTCAGAGGGCTGGAAAATACAACAAATTCTTTGCAAATTGAAAGTGCAATTGAAAACAATAACTTGTTGGAATGAACTGGAATGAGTCTCTAATGATTTATCAGAATGGATTACATATTGTTAACAGAGAGGACAAAATAGAACACAAACCGGGACTATACATTAATAAGGAAGGCCTTCTAGCTCATGAGAGTTCTTTTCTGTTCTTACTCTCCTGGTACTAATTGGTGGATCAAGACTCTCATTCTCCTACTTTAGATCCTTTACCTTTAAAAAAATAATAAATCCAAAACATCCAAAATTTCTCTTGCACAAATAGTGCAAATACTATCATGCAGGAAAGACCTTCACAGCAAAGATCATGAGCCTGCATGCTGAAAGAAGAAAATTATGAGCCTGCATGCTCAAAGATAAGGACAATCAACAAATCTGGGGAAAGCATTAGAAAAGACCTATTTTGCTGAAATACTAGAACATCAAAGTCCAAGCAGACTATAGCCAAGCAGACAACACTGTGAGAGGTTGGATCAATAATTTGCCACATTAATATATCATAACATAGCAATGGAAGTATATTTGTTTCATGATCTAAGGCAGGGCTGTCAAACTCAATTTCATTGAGGGCTACATCAGGGTTGTGTTTGACCTGGAGGGGCTGAGATGGGCGTGGCCAGAGTGAGCATGGCCAGCTCGATGTCACTCGTGTCGGGGAGTGCCTGTGATGGCCTGAGCGCTCTGCCAGTGAAAACAGGCTCCTGAGCTCCGTTTTTGGCTGCCACAGCTTCCTGCAACCCTCTGCGAGTGAAAACAGAGCTCAGGAGAGCTGCCTACAGCTCTCCCTAGTTCCGTTTTTGCTGGCAGAGGCACCGTGGGCCAGTCCTTCGCTGTTTCCAAGTTAGCCCCTCGGGCCAAATCTAAGCACCTTGCAGGTCGCATCCAGCCCGTGGGCCTTGAGTTTGACACCCCTGATCTTGGGTTATTACCTTTTTCCAAATAAATTTACATTTTCTTCAGAGTAAGTTTACAGGGGTTATGTTAGTGATAGGACAGACTATAGCCAATGGTAGCTGTTGCTTCTTCCAATCCCTGTTTCTGATATCCATCTGCTCTGTTTTCCTCTTGAAGATACTATTTTATTAAGTTTTTATTAGTATCCCAAGTGGACCAGATGGAAAACTCCACAAGATGAAAGAATTCTACTTTATTGTAAGGCTACATTAACTGAATCTTACACATCTGAAAGTACAAATATCTCTTTTTACTGGCTAATAAGTTAGGGTGGATCCTTTCTAAGTTTCTTTCACTGTCCATTAGTCAGTTGTAAGCCTTTTTTTATTTGATCATTCCTAAGTCAATATCTCCTTCCTCTATTTTCCAAGATCATTCTCACATTCTGTTATAGTTTCTGAGTCATATTATCTTGCCATCCTGTATACTAAAAAAGAAATATTATAATTGGATGAAGACTTTGAAATGGGCTGAGAACTGGAGATTACAGGTTGCCAACCCCATTGTTTGTTGAATTACAAAGATGTCGTAGCTGTGTAAATTAAAATTAGCACCGTCCTTTCTTTCTTTGTGAGGCTAATGATGAAAAGAGATGGTCTCAATGCTTACAGCATGATTGTCTGCAGGCAACAGTTTTCATTTGATCAGTTCCACCTGAGCTACAATCCTCCACTAACTGAGAACCAAAACTCCCCAAAAGGCTGCACATGGAAGACTATTCCTAAATGGGGCTAATATTTCATTATGTGTTCATGAGTCCTACAAGGAGCAACCAATAATAGAGAAAGAGCAAGGAAACATGCATATAGCAACCTGAGGATATGGGAAAGATAAAAATTCTAGGCAGGATTCGCCATTTTTAGTTGTAGTCCAGTTTTGACACTGACTAAATCTCCTACATGAAAGCATCCTTAATTCTACCCCTTGTCCATCTGGCATATGCAGGATGTTGCAGCCTTCAGTGGCTTGACATGGTCTTGCTTCTTCAACGAATTTCCATTTCATTCAGTGTTGCACTTAGCTCATTAAAATGACGTGCTTAACCACATAACTAAATGGTGAATAGTTTTAAATCTGCTCTTAAATAAATTTTATGATCCAAGGTTCTAGTTTGGCTTTAATACTTAATTGGTGCTTTAAGTTCTTTGACTAAGAACAGATGTCTGTCTGTCTATCTATCTATCTATCTATCTATCTATCTATCTATCTATCTATCTATCTATCTATCTATCTATCTATCTATCTATCATCATCAATCTCAGAGGTGGGATTCAACTTTTTATACCACCAGTTCTGTGGGTGTGGCTTGATGGGTGTGCTTTGTGCACGCATGTATGTGCATGCACCAAACGCGTGCTTTGCGCGCACAGAGAGGGTTTGAAACTGACCTTCTCCTGCAATCCTGCACTCACCCTGTGTGTTCAACAGCTGACGTGCGGCAATCCATTATGCCACGCGAAGCAGCTGAGCTTCAAAACCAGGAAATAAAAGTCAGTATAGAGCCGGGGAGGGCAGGTGAGCCCAGCAGCTGATCATCGGAGTAAACCGGTTCACCCACTGATGATCCTTGGAGCTACAAGTTTGGCTGAATGAGGCCGAACCAGTAGAATACCACTCCTGATCTATCCATCTCTATAATCTACAGTATCCATCTATCCATCTGTCTGTCTGTCAGTCTTTCTGTCTGTCTGTCTATCATCTAATCACTTGAAGAATAATGGAAAATTGCTTTATTGGATAAAGATTGTATCTAACTCTAAAACCTTTCTAGTCATCCATTGATGTCTCTAATAATGGTTAATGGTGCAAGCCATTTTTTTAAAAAAAACTAGTATGCATTAATCATAGTACAAACTGCTATAAATGTCTAATTCATATATTCACATAGAGTCACATGGGAAACCACTGATATAAACACTACCCTTTCAAATACCAAAGAATTAAAAACAATGCTGACTCAGGAACTCTTGTTTCTCAGTTTGCAGCAGTAAAGTTAAAATTTACTGTAGTGCTCAGTATTTTTAACTATTTTGTGTTGTGTTTCTGGTTAGGAAAAGTATGGATGGTCAAAATCAATGAACTACTAATGATAAAAAAAAAGGACAGCTTTGAACAAAGAAAAAAATATCTCATTTTACCTGGATTAGAACAGGAAATATGAGGTTTTATACATATGCCTGGAGACGTTAAACATTTAAATTTCAAGCAAGCAAATAAATGTAGTCAAAGACACACTCCCTTGAGTGTATCTCCCTTGAGATCCAAAGTGGTCAAAGAGGAAGTAAAGAAGAAATAAATGCAATGTTCTCCTTCATATCCCTCACTGATTATTCTAGGGAAAAGTGTAGAAAATGTGGAGATAATCTTGATAAAGAAATGCAGGAATGATTAAAGGAGAAGAAATGACACCTTAGTCTGAGGAAAGGAAAAAAACATGAAAAAGAAACTCAAAATAGTTTCATTTTGATAATTTATTCGGTGTAAGAGAGAGGAAAAGGAAATTCTGGATGGCCTTCAAACTTCCATTTCTATACTCTGTAACAAGAAAGTCCCATTCCTATATTCCTTTTGGTTTCTATTTCTTGACCTATCTTACCTTGAAGAGCTGATCTCTTCAAGAACTCTTCCTAGGAAAGACAAGTTATCACGGACCAAAATAGGAGCAGAGGAAGGAAGGGAGGCACTGTTTCAACTTCAAATGCTTTAACCTTAAGGATAGACTGAATCATTATTAGTGGCATAAAACAACAAAGAAGATAAAGTTCTTTAAGATGTGTCATGCAGCTTGGAAGAGCTGTTTTAGAGTCCCATAATACAAGCCATGGGAAGGCAGGCAATTTATGTTTCTAAGCCAACATGAGCTTACCACTCAGGAGAAGCTGATTACACCGGTATGAAGCTGGAAGTTGACCAACATCTTCTAATCTATGGCTCATTACCCGTGAAAGGTGACCAGTGTGAGAGAGGCTTCCCACAATAATGCTATGCAAATATACTGGCTCGATGAAGTAGCTAAGAAGTGCGCCTTGCAATCCAAGGACATTCCATCTGGAAAAGAAATTCAACAGTGAAAAAGATGTTCTGCAAGGGAAGAAATTAGAGATGAATTACATTGTGGGTAACAAAACAATATTCAGAGACATGGCAAAGCTTATTAGGTGGATGCATAGGTTTATTTTGCAGAGAAAAATCTTGAGTGGATGCAGGGGGTATGTCTGGGATGGATCACATTCTTTTGATCTAAACCAGTATGCAGAATGCCATAAGCTTCCCCAATCTGATGCTATCCAGATGTGTTGGCATTTTAACTTCCATAATTCCAGTTTCAGAAATCTGGATATCTGGAAGTCACCAGGTTTCAGGAGGTTGATCTGGAATGCTTTAGAACTAATACTATAATGGAAGGAAAAATATGACTTTGGTTAAGGATACTTCATGATAGGCAAGAGTCAGATATGTAAAATATACTATTACATGTCTCTCCGGGTCTATGGACTGTTATTAATATTTAGCTGGCCTCCAAAATCTTAAACTGCTCATATCCATAGTATCCTAGAGAACATCCTTTTCATCTCACCTGCTTATAAAATTATTGAGTTGGAGTTCATTCTGGAAGCCCTCCTTCATCGAGATCAGAATGGCAAAGGAGTTTTCTTCAACAATAGCACCTACCTTATTTCTTTTCTAAGTTGTAGAAGGGTGAACACTAATACCTACCTGCCTTTTGCAATGAAGGCTAGGGTTCTCTATTTGATCAGAGGGTTTGGGGATTGCCTAAAATTAACATAACAATTCTCCTTGTAGACAGTTTATCGATATAAATTTCCCTCCTAGAGAGTTTATCCATATTCCTAACACTCCATCCTGTTCTTGAAGAACACGCCATAAGAAAAACTGCCACACATACGTTGCCTTTAGTGGGTTTAATGATGATGAGCTGAAATATGGGAGACATTTTAGAAAAGGTTAGAGAGATTTTGCTATTTAAGGCAACATCCAGTGGTTGCTGTGCTGGAAAAAAAAAAGCATTTAAAGTGCAAATCTGTACCAGCAGGAAGCATTATGTAGCTAATTTCTTACATCATTGTTCTTTTCATTAATTAACATTTCTCAACCGTTAGTGCTATAATTGCGGTGCCTCTGTGCCGTACGTCTCTTTCCATGATTAATAAGGAGCCATTATACTTCCCTTTCCTGAAGCAGTCAATTAACACGAAATACTTTCCATTAATTACTGAATGTTTAAAACCAGCATGCTGTACCTGGAGAGCAATCTGCTCAAGGAACCTGTGACAAAAATTGCTTTCAGAAGTTCTTTTAAAATTTTATTCCTCTCTCTCTCTCTCTCTCTCTCTCTCTCTCTCTCTCTCTCTCTCTCCCCTCCCCTCTCTCTCACACACACAAAAGAGCAAACCACAGGCAATTTAGTTGGCTATATTAATTTGCTTTAGAAGCAAGGCTGGCGAATGAGAAACATCTTTTAATCTCATGGAAGACAAGGCAGCCATCTGGCTGCTGGAGGATTTCTGGGTGAGACTTCCCCTCTCTTTCTCTCTAAAATGCAGGTCATTAAAGTAATGTGTTCATCCTACATAAAACTCAAATGGAAGATAAAAGGTAATATTTATATACAAACAATTTAGTCCCACCATTTAAACAGTCATTGGTTTTATGAAACATTTACTTTAGTCTATCAGATTTGCATATTTTCATTTGGGTTTGTGTATATGGGGGAAAAATGCAAGCATATATGGTCATTTCTTCAGATTATCTGCCTATTTACCATCCATCCAACTTATTATGTTTAAAGGCTACTCTGTGCTAAAACAAATCAAGAATGAAATCAAAGAAAACTGGAAAGCTTTGCAAATGTTAAACAATGTTAGATTTATTTAATAACAGAACTGATTTGTCATCAGAGATTCTGTTTTGGTAGAAATACATATATTATCTCAAAATTGTTTCTGGAATAATTTAGAACAGACTCCAAAACTTCTAAGACAGAACCTTAATGTCATCAATATTTTCTTCTTATTAATAAGATGTTCCCTGTCTCATCTTACAATGGCCATCCTGTGGTTATGATCCTTTCCATTAACCATTCTACTATATTCAGATTTATGTATTCTCACTAAACATGGAAGTTCAATATAGCAGTTTAGGATCTCTGATGTAAAATAATAGAGTTGGAAGGGACCTTGGAGGTCTTCTATTCCAACCATCTGCTCAAGCAGGAAACCCTATACCATTTCAGACAAATGGTTTTCCAATCTCCTCTTAAAAAATTCTAGTGTTGGAGCATTCACAACTTCTGGAGGCAAGTTGTTCCACTGATTAATCGATTAAGTAATGCAGCTTGCCTGTTCAAAATCACAGAGCATGGTATCTGACAGGTTCATGAAGGATCAGACTAATGGATTCTTGTCTTTGGGGATACTTCACATCCCTGGAGTTGCAGGCAAACTATCTTGGATAGCAGCTGTTAAGAAGCAACAATGGGTTAAGACTGTTTGTTGGTCTATATTTATGAGCTTCTGGAATACAAATGACTATGAATATCAAATAATTGCTAGACTTATTCAGCAGTGCTCTTTTGTATTTTAGGAATGGGCCCCAAATACGGATTGCAATATAGCAGTAGCAATGGCACTTAGACTTATATACTGCTTCACAATGCTTTACAGTCCTCTCTAAGTGGTTATAGTGTCAACATATTGCCCCCAACAATCCTCATTTTACTGACCTTGGAAGAATGGAAGGCTGAATCAACCTTGTGAGGGTGGGACTTGAACTGCCAAATTGCAGTCAGCCGGCAGTCAGCAGAAGTAGCTTGCAGTACTGCATTCTAACCACTGTGCCACTGCAGCTCCTAGATCCGTGGTGGTGAACCTATGGCACATGTGCTGGAAGTGGCATGCAAAGCCATTACTGCTGGCACATGAGCACTCACCCAGAAAAGGTCTATTGTGCATGCATGCACGCCACCTGCCAGATGATTGTTGGGTATCTGGTGTGCATGTGCGAGGGTGAGGTGGTGTGTAGGATACACTCGTGCATGCACAGAAACACGTGGCATGCGTGGGGGCACTCGCATGCACAGGAGACATGGGAGGATGTGCACATTGCCTTTTGGGTGATGGCATTCGAGCACACGCAGGCAATTATCAGCACGGGAGCCCAAAAAGGTTAGCTATCACTGTCCTAGATAGATAAAATATATGTCTGAGGATCCACTAAATAAGTTCATGTTGCTTGGCCAGTAAATTTCAAAAGATGTAGAGAATGCCTTTCTACAAAACATTCTATTTTTGTCAGAATGAAATTTCCTTGTTGCTTTATATTCATTCAACTGACATTAAATTGAATAAATTCAACTAACATTGAATGAATTAAGGATTTCATCAAAGCAACATCAGAGATGTCTGCAATTGAAGGATGCAGGTTGAAAATGATCTGCGGAATGATTGCAAGAGAGAAGGAAACTCAAACATTGTCCTCCATTAGTACAATCATTGGGGAAAAAAAGACACCTAATATGTAGACTCTACAACTATACATATCCTTACCTGAATTAGTTGGTTTTTTTTTTGTCTCAGTACATCACTTTATCAACCAATAAGAGGGACCACAACCAACGGTTTGCATTTTAAAATTTCCCACTCACATAATACCCTGTTTCTCCAACAATACGGCCTCCCCCAATAGGAAGTCCCAGCATGTTTTATAGGCATGAAATGAAATTAAGCCCCTCCCCCCAAATTAAGGCCTATATTAAAACATGCGAAATGGTGGGGGATGGTGGGGGGGCTTGCCGTTAGGAAGTACTTTTGTTGCACACCCGGATATGGTGCTGCCTGCATTGACCCCGATACGAAGTGCCCCACCAACACCGAGGTCAACATCCAAGCCGTTGGCACCCGCCCGAAGATGCAAGGGGGGGGGAAATTAAGTCACCCCCGAAAAGACGGCCTAGCCATTTTTTCAGGGCTCAAAAAAAAAAAAAACAAGACCCAGCCTTATTATATGAGAAACATGGTAGAAATTTATCAGATAGAAAGGTAAATTAGTTTTTTTCCATATAGAGAAGAATTTCTCTGTTTCTCTCAGTCCAAATCCCAGAAACAGTTTTATTAACATAATTAACAACAATGTTGCTTTTTTGGTTTTCTTGCTATAGATAGAAAGCTGTAGTTACAATTCCACTTATTTCCCCATGGATAGATATTTTCAAAGTTAAAATTTTTGAAATATTAACCTGATTACAGAAAGTGAAAGCACTACTGCATTCCAGGCACTCAATACATCAATGTGACTTGTCTTGCTAAGAAGGCATATGATGGATAGACGGATATTTTCTTTTAATTGTGCAGAACATTGAGAATGCACCTTTCAAGGACACAACCCCAGCTGAAGTAACTTCCAGAAAAATTGACTCATCCACTTAAGGGGAGCAGGATATTCAATTAGTACCATGTTTCCCTGAAAATAAGACCCTGTCTTTTATTATTTTTTTGCCACCATCCCCATGGGGGGATGTCATCCACTGACTAGCCTCACTTGAGCATGTCGTCCCGGCTTCCTTTTAGCTGTCAGAGGCCTTCAGGAACTTCTTCTGTGTCCAGCAAGGCTTTCCTGAAGGCCTCTGCAGCCGATAACAGAGCTCCAAATCGATCTGGGGCTCTGTTATCAGCTACAGAGGCCTTTACAAAAGTTGTGCTGGCTGCAGAAGAAATGGGCTCACAAGGCAGGTGTTGGGGTATGCGAGGCCTGGCTGCAACTGAAGGAAAGTAATAGGGCAGCTCTACCATTCCCATCCTCATCCTAGCTTAATTTTTACCTATGCACCCTGGAGTGGGTGGGATCTTAATTAGAACTTATTTTGGGGTTAGGGCTTATATTGGGCACACATGTAAAATCAAGCTAGGACGTACTTTCAGGGTAGGTTGTATTTTTGGCGAAAGAGGTAATTTAAAAAAGTATTTTTTTAAAAAAATATTTTGCTTCTCATCCAAGAAGCATCTTCAAGGAAAAATAAGTTGCCTCTTGAA